ATCTTCAAGTGGCCAAGGTTGAGAAACACTGATCTACTCCAAGTGATCTGAAACCTAACCTAACCCTTTATCCATCCTCATCACCACAAATTCCTCTACAAACAACAGCCTGTAAAGGCAATAGCCTGTAAAGGCATATCCAACAAAATGTGGAAGTTCACAGGAAAATGGCAGTTTGGACATTTTGCAAAATTCACAAACAAAAATAGCAATAATTATATTTTTTTCCCAAATGGAAAAACCCTCCTTAAGGTTGTTGTTAATGCTCTGGAATATTTAAACATTCCAACTTCTCTAAAGTTAAATTCTCAAGAAGATAGAAACAACTGTGTTAAGTATACGTGATGGAAATAATTAAAGGGGATAAGCAGAACTACACTTCAGATGTACTCTGTTTCCACAGGATGTTTCTAATAGCTTTAAGTGTTACAGGAATACTGAATGCAGTTCAGAAGTGAGTTTCAATATACTTGTATACTGTCGGTAAGAAAAAGTCCAGAAACTATGGCTGAATATAAAATAAAACAATTAAAACAAAAGTCTTCAACCACTGATAGTTTTGACTTAAGCAGTGTGTATTACAAGACAGCCAACAAAAATGTAAAGAGCCACAATATACACATATAAATTATACCACTGAATGTTCTCCTTTCTTGTTCCTCTGAATACAGTAGTTCTTGAAATTTTAGTTTTTTAGAAGTGGAAGAAAATCATCCACCCGTGTCTAGAACCTGCCTTAACAAAATAAATTCCCACATATGTCCAAATGATTTGACTGGTAATTAAGAGGCACCATTAAACACTGATTTAAACCCCCTCCCTTTTTTTTTTTTTTTGCACAGCATAGCAAATTGCTCCAAAATTGTGATGTATATAGTTCTGCACAAATTGGTGGTAAATCTGACCTCAAGCACAGAAAACGTGTCTTGCATTAGTCTCCAATAGGTACCTGTCTAAAGTGGGTGGCAAAAGTGTCCCTATCATTGGAATATACTGTTTGTGTAAGTATTCCTTTCTCTTCTGTGCACTTCAAGAGGAAGTGGTCCTTAAGTACCCTTTTGGAGTGGATTTGAGATCCACTCCAAAAGGGTAGGTGGATCCGAGATCTATCAAGATTGAAGACAGCTACCTTAAGGATGATTTTAAGGTATGCTCCAAAGCAACCACACTAGGAAGTACGTTCCACGGTCAGAGAATAGTAAAACAAAGTAAAGGCTTATTGTGCTTAAGAATCGCAGGAGCAGCCCTTGGTGGATGTCCTCCTTAGCTCCAGTGCGGGCGAGAGCTGGCTGGAAAAAGCGATTTCCTGCTTGCTTCCTTTCCTGCTCCCGAGATCTGGCCACTGAGTACCACCCAAATGGTCGGATCCGGAGAAGGGCGCGCTGGCACCCCGAGGATATTCCCATCTCCAGACAGCTCCGCTCGCGCTTCTTCCTTCTCCAACACCCCCCCTCCCGGGGGGGGGCTCCAGGTCATCCTGTCCCTGCCGAGACACCCACCTCAAAGAAGGTGATTCTGCTTCCCATTTTGCAGGGGATCTCGTAACCCGCCCTCCAGCTCCAGCAGCCGGTCTAGAAGATGCAACTGCTGCGGGCGGCGGGAGTAGCGCTTCCTTCTCCTGGTCCTCCTCGCAGCTCCGCGGCTGCACTTTAATTGGGGGCCCGGCAGGTCCTCCGGCCAATCAGGAGATTCCCTACGCCCAGGAGGTAGCCTTGCAGGGAAGGAGGCGGGGGGCCTGGGCTCTGCCACCTCGCTTCCCTCGTTGTCATTCCTTCCCCGTCCCTCGCGTGTTGCTGCTGCGGCTGCCTAGAGCCGGGAGGCGCCGAGTTCAGCCGCGGCTCCCGAGGGAAGGCTCGGTGCACGAGCGCGGGCTGCTCCTCGGCCCGCCCGGAGCCGGCTTGTCCCAGTGCGCGCAGATACACGTATTTTCAAGTAGAAATGAGAATCTCCCCTCGCGGGACTAATGTGCGAAGGCGCCGCCAGGCGAGTTGAGTTGACAGCTGCATGCAGTTTCAGCGGAGCGGTAAAATGTTCTGCTTGGCCAAGTTCGCTTCGCTTCGCTTCGCTTCGCACGCAACGCAACACAACACAACACAACACAACACAACCAAAAAGGGTATTTAAGTACTCCTTTCCTCTGCCTGAAAGGATAACAAGTGTAATGTACCCGCGGCTCCGCGGGGGAGCCTTCATGGTGGAACAATTGTTGCTGGGCTTCAGGGCCTCCTTATTACAGTTTAGGAGGGATTATAAGCAATGTTTTTATCCAGGCATTTTAGAAATTTTAGTTTAATGGTGCTGCTGTTTTTTAAAAATCAACACCTAAGCCCAACCATGCATATGTGTTTATACTGTAAGCTGAGCAGAGCTGTTTGGGAGCTGGCAGTGCATGAACTTGTAAAACTAAATGCCAGTGAGATAGAGAAGTGGGGTTGTCCAATCCCCAGTGATCCTGTTTTGAGCTTCAAGGTGGAACAAGGACTACTGGAGCATGGTCTCCCCTGTCCAGATCCAACATACAGGCCTTACCATATTATGGAGATGGACAACAAGCAGCCTCAGCTCCTCATGCAGTTTCTGAACCCGTCTTATGGTCCCTAGTTGTCTTTCTGACCACACTGTCAACACCTGACAAATGCTGAGATCCAGGTTTCCCACAATTCTGAGCTGGAAGTTTCACTCATCTACTTGCCATGGCATGAAGACATCCCACCAACCATTTATAGAGGATAATTCCTGACAACATCATCTCCATCTCACTTGCCAGCCCACTGCTGAGGCAATCTAAGGTCAGCTTTAGGTGGGGGAATGGTGTTTTCCCTTTAATCCCAGCACAGAACCTCTCATGCAGACAATCTAAGGTGCAAGGAGAAAGAGGCTTATGATGACATGGTTGGGGTCGGCAAACTGTTCAACTCTGATTGCCCTGGGTTGCTGCAGGAATGCTTCCTCCTGTCCAGTTGCTGGGCAATGAGTCTTTCTGCAGTGTTTTTATGGCTGTGAAGAAAATTGGATCCCTGTCTTCCATACTTGTTTTATTTATTGTATTTGAAAGGGAATATTATCCTATTGACCTACAGAGTGGTTGCAGCCTTGGAATGAGGGTCAAAACATTTGAGAGCACCCCACAACTTAACATCTCTTTCAAAGTCTTGCTTTTCAGCATTGTGTATTGGGCAGCTGCATCTGGACTGCACAAATCCAGATGACCACTAGATGGCATCTAAGAAAGAAAATTCTAATTCTTTTGCTGTCATCTAGTGGTAGAGAAATCAACCTTAGAAACCTTAGAAAAAACCCTGATTGGACAAAGAGCCCTGAGCGTAAAAACACCACACGTGGTTTTTCCCATGCTTAGTGACATTGGACATGACTGGAATCTCAGCCAGGGAAGCCTTGAACCATTCCATTGTCATACAACACAACTGTGTGGACAGTAGCACAGCAGAACCCTGTTCCAGATGTGCATTAATGGCATGCTTGCTGAAATATTTTCTCATTCTGGGATGGGAGGAAAGCATGACAAAGCAATTGTATAGATAAGCTCACATATTTACCACAATTGCAAATATACTCCCATCTCACCTGCATCTTACAAAATCCCAGGCCACACGTACAGCACCTCTTTGCCCAGCACACCTTTATTCTCTCTCCATGTTAACTTTGGCCCCTACAATACTGGATGAATTTACCTTATTTGGCCCCAGTTAAGATCATTACAGTATGCAGATGATGTAAAATACTTCTGTGATGGAAATGCAAGTATGCATTCCTTCCCTCCACAGCTAATACAGGGAATTCCTGGGTTAAAAACGCCCAGCTTAAGGATGATGCATAGTTAAGAATGGAGCCTATTGTAGCAAAATTTGAGTTAAATACACAGTGATTCAAATTAAGTACACAATATTATTTATACAGTATTACACAATAATACTGTTCTGGCTTACATACAAATTCAACTTATGGACAGACCTTGGGAATGGAACTCGTTCTTAAACTGAGGACTGCCTGTAACACTATTTGCTTATTTGTTTAGAAAATGTACAATGCAATTCACTGCATCTCTTCACTTGCAAATATTATAAAATTATACGATTATCTAGATCCGCTTTAGTCAGGTTTCAGGCCAGGGTATAGAATGGAGATAGCTTTGGTTGCACTTGTTGATGCCCTTTGCTAGACCCAGGATGGAGATGGTGTGTCCATCCCTGTGCTCTTTGATCTCTCAGTGGCTTTTGATACCTTCGATCGTGGTATCTTTCTGGACTGGCTGCAAGTTTGGGGTGAGAGGTCCTGTCTTATGGTGGCTCTTCTTTTGTGCTTGGTTCTAGTTGGTGTTGACGAGGGGAGAGGTTCTGCCCATGTCTCTCCTTTGTAGGGTGCTTCAGGGCTTGATGCCATCACCTCTTCTGTTTCATACCTACTTGAAAGCACTGGGTGAGGTCATCCATTAGTTCCAGGTCCAGTGTCATCAGTATGCATGATACCCCATTATATATCTTGGTCCAGGAGTCAGCCAAGTGAGGCTGTCCCAGTGCCTGGAGGCTGTTCAGGCCTGGATGGGGTGGAACAGACTCAGGCTCAATCCTGACAAGACCAAGTGGCTGTGGATATTTGGGCACCCCAACTCTCAGGATTCTCCTAGTCTTGGAAACTAGTGTACCAGTTGCATCTGTTCTTGGATTGAGAGGTCCTTCAGTTGGTCTCTCATGCCTTGATCACCTCAAGATTGGCTACTGCAGTGGCAGCTCATGCCTTCTACCTGGGTCTGCCTTTGAAGACCACACAGAATCTACAGCTTGTCCAGAATGCAGCAGCACAGGTAGTACTGTTCCAGGAGCTGCAATGGTTTCCAGTTGGCTTCCAGGTGCAATTCAAGGTGCTGGTTACCACCCAGCCCTTCATGGCTTGGGGCTTAGCTATTTGAGGGACTGTGTATTTCCAATAATAGCTGCCCATCCTGTAAGGCAGAATGGGTGTGCTCCAAATCCCTTTGATTAAACAATGTTATGTATTGCAGCCTACAGGGTACAGGTAGTCCTTATTTAGCAACCATAGTTGGGACCAACAACTCAGTCATTAAGCAAAGTGGTTGCTAAGTGAAACCGTGAATATGCTTTTGATCTTACTTCAGCGTTCCTTTGCTTTACAGACCTGCAATGGTTGTAAATGCAAGGATTGATCATAAAGTTACTTTTTCATCACTGTTGTAACTGTGAACAGTCGCTAAACAAGGCAGTCACTAAATAAGGACTACATGTATGCCTTCTCTATTGTGTTGTCTGCCCTCTAAAACAGCATCTACCCAGAAGTCCATACGACTCCCATCCTGATGATGTTCCAAAATTTATTGAAAACCAGGCCATGGGGTAGGGTGGGTGTCGAGCCCCCATGAAATCTTTTTGCTTGGTGTGGATTGTTTCCTTCCATGCCTTTATTTTATTGTTTCTTGATTTTGAAGTTGAAAGCTGCCCAGAATTGTGTAGAGTTGGGCAGCCTTTAAATTGTGTAAAAAGATAAAATTTGATACACTAGAATCTTTCCATCAGAGTAAACAGTTTTCTTAGATGCTACATATATACAGTACTGTAGTGTCCAGGTTTCTTTGACAGGTTCCATATTTGGGGGATATAATATAACATTACATTTGCATCTTTAATCCTTATTTCTTTTCTCAACGTCCCATTTGTAACCTAATATTAAACCAAAATAGTGTAGAACAGTATAAATTCAGAGTTCCAAATAAAAATACCTTAGTACAGCTTTTCAATTATAGATAGGGAAAAAAACTGTAGATTCCAGAACTTCCAAAGCATTTCCCAATATTAATAATGTATGAAATTGTTTTTGCAAAAGTCAGTTGTTTTAAAAGACAAACTGGCAATAAACTGATCCAAAGTATTGATATTTCTTTAAACCCATAAACTGTAGAAAAAAGAGATTTATCAGCAATCTTCAGGGTTGGATTGTTTCATACTGTCAATTTCTCATGATAGTTAGGGTCAGATTTGAACAACTTCTCCCAAATAATTCAAAATATGAGTTGCAGCTGTTAATTTGCAAGAAAAACACTTGAGATATAACTAAAACAGATTCCAAGTTCCCACTATGATATTACAGGAATGAGATAGTAACTTTCTAATTGTGCCCATAAAGGTTTTTAAGATAAATCTTTTAGATTCCACAATAAAATAGAGGTTAGAATACAAGTAATTGGAAATCAGGAAAGTCAAAAACTCCATCCTCATTTGCCAATCATAATTTTAAAAAAAGAAAACCTAGAGGTCTGACCATCTCCTAAGAATTTTTTCAATGTCTTATCAATCTAATTAAAATACTTAAGAGGTATCAACATGATACCCACGCATGCGTGCGTGCACCCGCCTCCCCTTGGAGTATCATTCACTTTAACAACATTCTACACCATAGACTCAAAGGAATTTTATTTGCCATCATCTGTTTATGTTATTATTGATCGAAAATAAGCAGTTAAAATATTAACCTCCACCAACTTAGAAATCTTTTGAGGAATGGCAAATATAAGATATTTAAATAAGTCCAAATAGTATGTGAGAGGGCATTTTTTACAAGTATCCATAGAAA